AGAGAGGAGAGACAGAGAGGAAGATCTTCCGTCCGATGATTCACTCCCCAAGTGAGCGCAACGGCCAATGCTATGCCGATCCGGGCCCTTCAGTTTTATTCTTGAAGCCAAACTCCAAAGTCTGGTGGCAGCTAACGTGTCTCTTTGATCTCATATCTTGCTACTCCCTTAACACCCTGTCTTCTGGCAAAAGCAGGCAACTTGGCAGCTCCCTGAATGCACCTGGCTCTCTCCTACCTCTGCGTTTCTCCCCCCCCCCAACTCTTTTATTAAATTTTATTTTATTGGAAAAGCAGATTTACAGAGAAGGAGAGACAAAGATAAAGATCTTCCATCTGCTAGATCAGAAGTGGAACATCCAGTACTCAATCTGGCACCCATATGGGAGGCAGGAGTTGCAGGCAGAAGATTAGCTTGCTAAACACCATGTTGGCACCTCCAGTTCTTAATTTCTACAAGAAAATTACATCCTTCACCTAGCTGAGGGTGTGTGTGTGTGTGTGTGTATTTTATGTATATATTTTATATATATATAAAATCTCTGGGAAGCTGGTAAAGGGTTTATATATGACTCTTTGCTTTAAGACTTCTTTATTTGTTGAAAGGCAGAGTTAGAGGGAGAGAGAGTCTTTCATCCACTGGTTCATTCCCCAAATGACTGCAAAGGCTGGAGCTGGGCTACAAAAAAGCCAGGAGACAAGACTTTCTTCTGGGCTCTTAGACCTGAGTACAGGGGTTCAGAGACTTGAACCATCTTCCACTGCTTTCTCAAGCACATTAGCAGGGAGCTGGATCAGAGATGGTGCAGCTGGTACACAAACCGGTGCCCATATGGGATGCCTAGCACCACAGGTGGTGTTTTTACCACTATGCCACAGTGCTGTCTCTATGACTCATTCTGTCAGTATTCTTCAGTAAAAGCAGAGTCTAATTTTAGCATGAGGCATAAATAAGGCATTTCTCAAGGACTTGGGATCTAGCCTTCATCATCCAGTTTAATTCCAGAACTCTTATTACCCACGTACAGACTGCATAGCCTTCAGATCATGTCTCACCCAGCACTCTCAACTAGGCTCTTCACAGAGCAGGGAACAGGTGGGTAGTTTAGACTTTTCTAGTTTTCTTAAAGGTCTCCCCATGCTGGACAGCTACGAAGGATAGCGAAAGTATTTCTTTCCTGCTGTTTCCACAGTGCCTACCTAGTGACTGAGTGGCTACAAGTTAGGTTCTGGTGGTGGTTGGGGATTGGTGTTTTGAAGGTACAGAAAATAATGGAATCCCATCTAGACAGATTTTCTTAACAATGGCAGTGTTGACATTTGGGCTAGATGATTATGTACAGCATCTCTGGCTTCCACTTGCTGGATGCCTGTCAAAACCCCAAGCATGTCAACAGATCAACAGAAAAACATCTCCAGAAACTGCCAAAAAATCCCCCTGGGTGATGAGAGCCACAGTCTTGGCTGTGGAGCCCCAGCACCGGAAGGGAGAACCAGAACAGCTTCAGAGTTGCCTTTCTGTGTTTTCATTTGTTCAGTGAGGCCCATAAATATTTACATAAGTGTAAAGAGCTGCCAATTTAAAGTGTGACAAGGGGAAAGAATACAGGCGGTGGAGATCCAGTAAATGAGCTGGCTTTTGAAAATTAAAGACCAGACTGGGAGAGTGACACCATGGTGTAACAGGGAAAGGTGTAAAGGTGCCAGTTCAAGTCCCCACTGCTGCAGTTTCCATCCAGCTCCCTTCTGAGCCTGGGAAATCAGTAGAGGATGGCCCAAGTCCTTGGGTCTTTGCACTCATGTAGGAGACCTCATCACCCTTCCTGGCTCCTGGCTTAGGACCAGTTCAGTTCTGCCATTGCAGCCATTTGTGAAGTGAATCAGCAGGTGGAAGATCTCTGTCTCTTCCTCTTACTCTGTAACTCTGACTTTCAAATCTCAAGATTATGAATATAGGGCCTGGTGCAGTGGCCTAGCAGCTAAAGTCCTCGCCTTGAACGCGCCCGGGATCCCATATGGGTGCCGGTTCTAATCCCAGCAGCTCTACTTCCCATCCAGCTTTCTGCTTCTGGCCTGGGACAGCAGTTGAGGACAGCCCAAAGCCTTGGGACCCTGCACCCACCTACATGGGAGATCTGGAGGAAGTTTCCTGGCTCCTGGCTCCTGACTTTGGATCAATGAAGCATTGGCCGTTGCACTCACTTGGGGAGTGAATCATTGGATGGAGAATCTTCCTCACTGTCTCTCCTCCTCTCTCTATATATCTGACTTCCAAATAAAAATAAATAAATCTTTTTTTAAAAAAGACTATGAATATAATTAAGAAGCCAATTTGAATAAATAAGTTATCAAAGAAATCGCAACTATTAGAACCTCAAGGTTCAATTTGATGACAGCATTGTGGCTCAGAGGGTTAAGCTGTCACTTGCAAAGCTGTCAGAGTTCTGGTTTGCATGCTGGTGCTTTTGTTTCTGATCTAGTTCCCTGACGGTGTCTCTGGGAAAGCAGCAGAGGAGGACCGCGTGCTTGATCCATTGACAACTATGTGGGAGACCAGAATGGAGTTCTAGGCTTCTGGCTCAGTCCTGACTACTGATGACATTTGGAGAGTGAACCAGCAGATGGAAGCTTTCTCTACTTCTCCCTTTCTCTCTGTGTGGGATCTTCCTTTCAAACGGTTTTTAAAAACAGAAAATGAAGTTCTACTTAATTGCTTTTTTAGAAAGTAATAGGTGTACCCAGCGGGCCAGTGTGATAGCTCAATTGGCTAATCCTTCACCTGTAAGTACTGGATCCTGTGTGGACTCTGGTTCATGTCCTGGCTGCTCTACTTTCATCCAGCTCCCTGCTGATGGGCTGGGAAGGCAGTGAAGAATGACTCAACCCCTTGGAACTCTGCACCCATGTGGGAGACCTGGAAGAAGCTCCTGGCTTTGGAATGACTCAACTCTGGCCGTTTCAGGGCATGTGGGGAGTGAACCAATGGATGGCAGATCTTCCCCTCTGTCTCTAAATTTCTCTATAAATCTGTCTTTCCAATAGAAAACCAAATCTTGAAAGAAAAAAAACCCAGAATATGAAATTGTTGCTTTTGGAAACCATGGTTTTATTTATTTTTATTTGACAAGAAAAGCAGAGAGAGAGCTCTGTGCTTATGGCCTAGGAACAGTGGAGGATGGCTCAAGTCTTTGGGCTTCTGCACCCACATGGCAGACCCAGAAGAAGCTCCTTGCTCCTGGCTTTGGATTTGTTCAGCTTAGACCACTGTGGCCATTTAGGGAATGAATCAGCAAATGGAGAATCTCTCTCTGATTCCCCACTCTGTAAATCTTTCAAATAAATAATAAAATAAATAAAACCTTAATTAAAAACCACTGGAAAAACTGAAAATGCATTCATTTTGTTTATAGAAAAAATAGTGCTAGATAACAACAAAAGAAAATGACCTTTTATTTGTATTTGCTTTTTAAGTATTCTTTTATTTATTTATTTATTTGAAAGGTGGAGTTATAGAAAGATAGGGAGAGACAGATCTTCCATCTGCCAGTTCACTACTGAAATGGCTGCAGTGACCAGGGCTACACCAGGCCAAAGCCAGAAGCTTTATCTAGGTTTGCCATGTTGGTGTGGGAGCCCAAGCATGTGGACGGTTTTCCACTGCTCTCCCAGGTACATTAGCAGAAAGCTGGATGGGAAGTGGAGCAGCTGGGACCTAAACTGGCTCGTATGTGATACTGATGCTTCAGGTGGCAGCTAGAAGTATGATGCCACAATGCCAGTCCTAAAAATGAGCATTTAGAGCTTATGTACTAGGCCCAGTGCAGTGACTTAGTGGTTAAAGTCCTCACCTTGAATGCACCGGGATCCCATATGGGTGTCGGTTTTTATCCCGGCAGCCCCACTTCCCATCCTGCTCCCTGCTTGTGGCCTGGGACAGCAGTCGAGGACGGCCCAAAGCCTTGGGACCCTGCACCCACATGGAAGACCCGGAAAGAAGTTCCTGGCTCCTGGCTTTGGATCGGCATAGCATCGGCTGTTGTGCTCACTTGGAGAGGGGATCATCGGACAGAACTGCAGCTGCTACATTATCATGCTGGGCCTGCAAATCTCTTTATACATCAATGTTCATCTCGTATGTTTCTGCGTTAAGGAGGCCATCTCATACTCAAAATTTGTTTCCCTATTATACTCTCAATTCATCATATCACAATAGGCCAAATAACTGTGTGATTTGAAATTCAATAGCAATCATTTCTGCTGTATTGTAAGCTCTAGAACAGAGTAGTTGTGCTTGTATCATTTTTTTCTGTGTTTTTTTTTAGTGTGCCCAAGCTCTTTGCACATAGCTTTTTCACAAATTATCCTTTTTTAAAAGGATTTATTTATTTTAGGGGAAAGGCAGATATACAGAGAGGAGGAGAGACAGAGAGGAAGATCTTCCGTCCATTGATTCACTTCTCAAGTGACTGCAATGGCCGGAGCTGAGCCGATCCGAAGCCAGGAGCTAAAAACTTCTTTCCAGGTCTCTCATGTGGGTGCAGGGTCCCAAAGCTTTGGGACGTCCTGACTGTTGTCCCAGGCCACAAGCAGGGAGCTGGATGGGAAGTGGAGCTGCCGGGATTAGAATTGGCACCCGTGTTGAATCCTGGCTCGGTCAAGGAGAGGATTTAGCCACTAGGCCATGGTGCCAGGCCCCACAAATAATCCTTGTATGGATATGGCAAATAAATGCCATAATCTGAAGTTGAACAGTAGTCTACTGTGATTTTAAGGACATCCTATAAATTATACTATAGATGCAATCTAACAGGAAATATTTCTTAAAGATCTAAGCATTTAGTTGAAAAGTAGAGCAACAGAGGAAGAGAGAGAAAAAGAGAAAAAGAGAAAGAGATCTTGTGGTGGATCCAGTGGTTCACTCTGCAAATGGGTATAACAGCCACGGTTGGGCCAGGCTGAAGCCACGAGCCTGGGACTCCATCTGGATCTCCCTGTGGATTTCATGAACCCAAATACTTAGTCCATTTTGCATTGCTTTCTTGAGCATGTGAGCGTGGAGCTGGATAAGAAGTGGAATAGCTGGAACTCAAATTAGTGGTCTGATAAGGGATGCCTGTGTCGCAGACTGCGGCTTCACATGCTGTGCCACAACAGGATGTATTTCTTAATGATCTTTCCAAAGAACCTCTTTCTCAACTCTATTTCTGTTTTAGACAGGATTGCAATTGTGGCAGTTACTCATTAACTGGGCAGGGTGTGATTCTGAGAAGAGGAACTGAAAGTCTTCAAGTCTCTGTCTCTGTGAATTAGGTCTTTAGACAACGAGTCCCACCTCTCTTAGCAGCTGGTTTTGAAGAGGTTTTCAAGGCTACTTGTAAAAACAAAACAAAACAAAAAACAAAACTTACCAAGATATAGATTAGCAGGATTTCTAACTTCTTGCTGGACTGAAATTGCTCGTTGTATTGTTGAACTCACTCAACAGCAAGCATCTAAAGATGAAGACCCCCAAGACATTTGAGGAGCAAACGGAAATCATCGTGAATGGTCTTCTCATGGACATGTTGGACTCCAACTCGCAGGTTGCTAACCGAGTCCTCACTGCTGGCGAAGAACCGGATGCAGGTAAGCCTCCTGCCCTGAGGAGGAAGTTAAAGGGAAATAAGAATCTGAGCATTCTGTCTTCATTTCCTCTTACATTTTCTTTTTAAAAACCTGGATGGCATATATTTTTTTTTTATGACTTGTTTAGTTTGGGATCAGTATGGTAGCCTAGTGACTAAATCCTTACCTTGCACCCGCTAGGATCCAATATGGGCACTGATTTGTGATCCAGCTGCTCCACTTCCCATCCAGCTCCCTGATTGTGGCCTGGGAAAGCGGCAGAAGACGGCCCAAAGCCTTGGGTTCCTGCACCTGCGTGGGAGACCTGGGAGAAGTTCCTGGCTCCTGGCTTCCGATCGGCTCAGCTCTGGTCATTGCAGCCACTTGGGCAGTGAACCAACAGACAGAAGATCTTCCTCTCTGTCTGTTCTTCTCTCTCTAAACCTGAATTTCCAATAAAAATAAATAAATCTTTAAAAAAATTTTTTTGCTTGTTTTATTTGAATATCAGAATTACAGAGAATGAGAGAGAGAGTGATCTTCTGTTCTGCTGCTACTCCCCGCGGATGGCTACAATGGCCAGAGCTGAGCCAGTCTGAAGCTGGGAGTCTGCAGTTTCTTCCAGGTCTCCCACATGAAGGCAAGAGCCCAAGGACTTGAGCCATCCTCCACTGCTTTCTCAGGCTGTTATCAGGGAGCTAATGATTACTGGAGCATCCAAGACTCAAACCAGCATCCACATGCTATGCCAATGCCACAGGCAGAAGATTACCATCGTGCCAGGTAACTTAAATTTCTTTTTTTATTTATTATTTTAAAATTTATTTTATTTTTATTGGAAAGTCAGATATACAGAGGAGGAGAGACAGAGAGGAAGATCTTTTGTCCTATGGTTCACTGCCCAAGTGGCCACAGTAGCCGAAGCTAAACCAATCCAAAGCCAGGAGTCAGTAGCCTCTTCTGGGTCTCTCACGGGGTACAGGGTCCCAAGGCTTTGGGCCATCCTCTACTGCCCTCCCAGACCATAAGCAGGGAGCTGGATGGTTAAGTGGGGCCTCCTGGATTAGAACTGGCATCCATATGGGATCTTGCTGGGTTCAAGGTGAGGACTTTAGCTGTGAGGCCACTACATTGGGCCAAAAATTATTTTTAAAAAATTATTTTGGGCCTAGTACAGTGGCATATCAGGCTAACCCTCCAGCTATTGCACCAGCATCCCATATGAGCAACAACTGGATTCCCTGGAAGAAGCTCCTGGCTCCCAGCTTTAGATTGGTCCAGCTCTGGCCATTGTGGCCATCTGCGGAGTGTGCTACCAGATGGAAAATCTCTCTCTCTTTCTAAGCTTGACTTTTAAGTAAAATGAATCAATCTTTTTTTTTTTTTTAAGAGTGATTTAGTCACCATTTATTTATGAGAAAAAGGCAGAGTTGCAAAGACATCTTCCATTCTCTGATTCACTCCCCAAATGGCTATAATAGCCAGGGCTGGGCCAGGTTGAAGCTAGGAACCTGGAACTCCATCAGGGTCTTTCCCAGAAATTTGGGCCTTTTGCATTGCTTTCCCAGGCCCGTAAGCAAGGAGTTGGGTCGGAGGTGGAACAGCTGGGACTCCAACTAGCACCCATATGGGATGTAGCCACAATGGAGGCTTCTTTTTTTAAATTTCAAAAAATAAACTCTAAGCTTTTGGCATACCAGAAGAGAAACAGACTTTGTAAGAGAGAGATTTTCTGTTTGTAAAAACAGTTGTTTTTCCTATTTTCATTGTTTTGATTTGAAGGGCAAGCAGAAACCGAGAGCTTCCATCTGCTAGTTCACTCCCCAGATGCCTGCAATACCTAAAGCTGAGCCAGGCTGAGACGAAAGCCAGGAAATCAATCCAGGGGCCCAAGCACGTGACCTGTCCCCTGCAGCTTCACAGTGTGTGCATTAGCAGGGAGCTGGAATGGCGAGCAGAGCCAGGGTGGCACCTGGCATGCCAAGGGAACATATGCTTCCCAAGCAATATCGACCCGTAATTGCAGCTCTAAACACCTGCCCCCAAAGGAGATTTTCATGTGCTCTTGGGAAAGGACAATGCCGAGACCGGGAACTTTTCTCCATCGCCTAGGTTTTATCCCATCAAGTGTTGTGACAAGTGTGTTTTCTGTGTCTTAGGAGACACTGACTCTTTCGACGTGGCCATCATTGTTGGTCGCCTGCGGATGTTGGGGGACCAGTTCAATGGAGAGCTGGAGGCCTCTGCCAGGAATCTCATTGAAGACACCATTCGGGGGCAGGTCAGTTTTTACTTTTTGCTGTTGCTTGCTGATTTTTCCTATCTTGAGCTTTCTTTTCTTACTACTCCTATATACTACCACAAAGAATGGATTTAGGGTTCTAGTCATTCCAGGAGGCACAGCAGGAATTGTCCAATTGTCCAATTTTGGAAACCCTAGTGATATAAATATAGAAAATTCTTGGCAGAGGCCGGTCAACCTTCAGCTTGTCTCCACTTGGTTTTCATCAGAAATATGCTCAGTGTGCAGGGAGCGTGATTGGCAGTTTATTCTTGACCAAGTGTTTCTATGCATGTTTTTGTTAGGTTTACTGACCACCCATGAAAGAAAAACACGGGCTGAATATAAACAGGTCTTTATGAAGCAAAGAGAAGTCTGTTCCTGGGCCTTTCCCCGTGCAGCGGAGGAACAAACAGGAGAAGAGAGGACTGCAAGTGAGAAAGACAAGCTGGGTAGCACAGACAAAGGTTTTATATCACTTCTGACATGGGTGTTGGCATCGGCCCTGTTTGGGTCCTGATAGGGCAAGGAATGTTGGCCTTTGTCCATCATTGGCCCATACGTGGCCTTGGCTGCCTTTGGGGCGTGCCAGATCTCTGGCTGAGGTCACTGTGGTGCCCATACACTTTTTATAACCGCAGTAATCATCAGTTTTAATATTTATTTTATTGGGTGTTGGCAATTCTTCTTCCTCCTCCTGCTCCAAGGTCCAATAGTGAGGTCTGTACAGGAAGTATAAGCAGTTTACAGGCCTGATGTGGTGACAAAGCCTTATGGAAGCCCGGGGGCTTCTCATTGCAGCAGGGATTACTGGCAGGAGAACTTGTAGTGTGTATTAGATACAAAGTTCACATGCCGGTGTTCTAGAAGATATAGCTGGTTAATATCAACAGGGACAGCTAGTAGGAGCTCACCACTTAGCATGTGCCACTGTGGTCTCATCATTCTATCCCTCCACAAACTATCAAACTGGAACAACCTGTCCCCTTCTGCACACAGCACCAGGATAGTAAGCATCTGACATTTTTACTGCATTCACAAAAACTCGAACAGTGCTGGATGCCCAGTAGGCCCCATAATAGTAAGTATTGCCAGTTACTCATTTAAGCAAATAAAGAAACCAAGGCACAGAGAACTTCAGTAGCCTGTGCTGAAGCTAGGAATGGAATTCAGACTGATAGCGTTTCTGAACACAGGCTGAGTGATGGTCTGCACTCCACTTGGGCAAAACTGGACTTTTACCCTCAGTTGCTTACTCCTTCACTATCTTCAAGCTGCTCCTATTAATTGGCACAAAATTTCAGTTTGTCCCATTACTTGTAATTGTTAAGTTACTTGTAAAGCTTTTCCACTGTAAACTTTCTCTTTTAAAAAAAGATTTATTTGGGTCGGGCGGCGTGGCCTAGTGGCTAAAGTCCTTGCCTTAAACCCACCGGGATCCCATATGGGTGTCGGTTCTAATCCCGGCAACTCCACTTCCCATCCAGCTTCCTGCTTGTGGCCTGGGAAAGCAGTCGAGGACAGCCCAAAGCCTTGGGACCCTGCACCCACCTGTGTGGGAGACCCGGAAAGAAGTTCCTGGCTCCTGGCTTTGGATCGGCATAGCATCGGCCATTGCGCTCACTTGGGGAGCTCACTTCCTCTCTGCCTCTCCTCTCTGTATATCTGACTTTCCAATAAATAAATAAATCTTTTAAAAAAGAGATTTATTTGAAAGACAGAGTTATAGAAAGGAAGGAACAGACAGAAACAGAAGGGGAAGAGAATGCGTCCATCCACCGCTTCATGCCCAGATGACCGCAAAGGCCAGGACTGGACCAGGTCCATCCATGCCTCTCCTGTGAACCAAACACTTGGGCCATCTTTCACCTCTTTCCCATATGCATTAACATGGAACTGGGTTGGAAGTGGAGCAGCCAGGACTTGAACCAGTGTCCATAGGGGATACTGATGATACAGGCAGTGACTTAATCCTCTGTGCTATACCTGTGGCCACAAGTCACCTTTTTCCTCCTGGTAACTAGTGTTTCATGGAGAGGTACTTTGAAGTTATGTAAATATCCCCTACCTTATTAAAATTTCAATCCTTTTATTCCTATATCAACATGGACCTATGCAGTTCTATTTTTTGAAGTAAAACCTGTTACTGTCATTACTTAGTTGCTCAGATTGCCTCAGATTTAGGAAACAGCAGCCCTTTCTTTTAAAAATATATGCATATATATTTTTAAAGATTTATTTATTTTTATTAGAAAGTCAGATATACAGAGAGGAGGAGAGACAGAGAGGAAGATCTTCCATCCAATGATTCACTCCCCAAGTGACCACAATGGCTGAAGCTGAGCCATTCCAAAGTCAGGAGCTTCTTCCAGGTTCCCCACACAAGTGCAGGATCCCAAGGCTTTGGGCTGTCCTCGACTGCTTTCCCAGTCTACAAGCAGGGAGCAGGATGGGAAGTGGAGCTGCCGGGATTAGAACTGGCGCCCATATGGGATCCCAGTGCTTTCAAGTTTCAAGGTGAGGACTATAGCCACTAGGCCACCATACTGGGCCCAGCAGCCTTTCGATTTAGGCTGTGTCTTTTTGATGTGTCTCTATCCTTCTTTGAGTATTTCATTTTTTTTCTTAAGATTTATTTATTTCTATTGGAAAGACAGATTTACACAGAGAAAGATCTTCCATCTGCTAATTCACTCCCCAAATGGTCTCAATGGCTGGAACTGAGCCAATTTGAAGCCAGGAGCAGAGTTTCTTCTGGGTCTCCCATGAGGATGCAGGATCCCAAGCCTTGGGGATATCTCCACTGCTTTCCCAGGCCACAAGCAGGGAGCTGGATGGAAAGTGTAGAAGCCAGGGCACAAACTGGTGCTTATGGGATCCCCATGCTTTGCAGATGGAGGATTAGCCTGCTTTGCCACTGTGCCAGCCGCAACTTTCATTTCCTTCTTTTGTTTGTTTGATCATTCATTCTTTCTTTCTTAAATACTTATCTATTTTTTTAAAAAAGATTTATTTTTATTAGAAAGTCAAATTTATAGAGAGAAGGAAAGACAGAGTTCCTTCATCCACTGGTTCTCTCCAAGTGGCCACAATGGCCAGAGCTGAGCTGATCTGAAGGCAGGAGCCAAGAGTTTCTTCTGGGTCTCATGCAGGTGCAGGGTCCCAAGGCTTTGGGCCATAACGTACTGCTTTCCCAAACCACAAGCAGGGAGCTGGATGGGAAGTGGACTGAATCAATGCCTGTATAGGATCCCAGCGAATGCAAGGCAAACATTTAATTACTGAGCCATCAAACCAGGCCCTCTAACTTCCTTCATTTCTAACAGAAGGTCATACATTTTCCATTTCCCAACCTGGAATCAGCCATTCTCCATGGAGCTCTGGTTTCTTTTCATGGAAAATGACATTCTGAAACCAACGTCTAGGTCCACTGCCACATGGGTGCCTTTTCGGTTTGTTTGGGCTTGGACTCAGTACTCCGACTGACTACTGTTGTTCTCAGTCCCTCATGCTCTGGTAGATCTTGCTTGGCCCCAGCTGATGACTTTTGGGTCAAATCATTTGGGGAGGAAGGTGGAAGAAGAAAACCAAATCACTTCTCCACACTCCCCTACCCCTGGTAGCATTTCCTAGTCATTCAAGGAATACCTTGCTATGTGAGCAGCTGTATTATCATGTATTTAATATTCTACTTTCAATACTAAGCAACAATATCTGAAATAATGCATTTCATGGGTTATTTGTATATTTTATAATATGTCGAATATATTATATTTACTTACATATATCCCTTAAAATAACAAAATGTTAGGATGAGAAGTTTGTTCATCTACTCTTTAAGATGACCTCAGCTCTACCTGCACCTGCAGCCTCTTGCACTTCCTGAGCAATCCTTCCCTGATGTACCTGTCTCTTCTCTCAGGCAGGAGCTGTACTTCAGGGTGTGGTACAATCTCTGAGCCAGACCTGGTGTGCTCAGGATTCCAACTTAGCATATGAAAAAGCCTTCCTGGCAGTGTCAGTCAAACTGGTGGAGTGTGTGATCCGCTTGGCTCCTGGAATGGTGCAACAGATGCGCGATGCCATGACGGGTATGATCAACGGGAGCAGAAACATCCGGGAGTTTATTCAGGGTCAGGGAGGTTGGGTAAGTATGTCGAGGCCCCTGGATTTGCTAGACATCTGTGCTGTTTTTGTATTCATACCTACAAGTTATGACCCTTTTTTGTAAGGTGGAAATTAAGCATGAGAACAGGCCTCCTTACTTTGCTAACAATGCTGGGTTTGTCTTACAATGGAAAGGAGGGAGCAGATAGCCGTCCAGCCTATGGGCCTGGATCACAGGGTCATGCCATCTGAAACACTGACGCCGATTGTAAAGCTAATCATTTCCCAAGATATAGCCATTTTATAAAAGTTTATTGGTTGTGCATTAGCCTGGATTCACTCTGCACCCTGGAAAATGTCTAGGTCTTTAGATACATACTGAGGAAGTTCAGATGAGTACTGAAGTGGTCTTGGCTGTTCTACTTCCCATCTGTACTAAAGTTCAGAATCCTTTTTAAAATGTTTATTGATTATTTATTTATTTGAAAGTCAGTGCAAAGAGAAAGAGGGAGAGGGTGAGACATCTCATGGATTCACTTCCAAACGGCTGCAACAGGCCATTACTGGGCAAGCGCAGAGCCAGGAGGCGGCAGAAACTCCGTGTGGGTGGCAGGGATTCAAGCACTCAAGTCATCATCGACTGCCTCCCAGGCTCAGCAGAAGGAAGCTGCATCAGAAATGGAGGTAGCACTTAATTCCAGGCACTTGGTACAAGACGTGTGCCTTTCAAACAGTGACTTAACCCTCTGAGTCACAGTACCTGCCTGCCCCAGAACCATCTTAATATAATCTTATGAAAACCAATAAATCTCCAGTGTTCTTGTGCTAGCAGTTGTAATTATTAGAACCCCGGGTGAGAGAGCACTCTCTTTTGTTTTCAGAAGTCATAGTCCCTAGCTCGTTAGGAAGTTCTTAAAGACCATCCTTTTTGACTGTAGACTTTTCACTGTTCTTCCTAGGAAAACCTGGAGAGCTGAAGAGCTGGAGCTCTCTCCGACACTGAACAACACTGCCTTTTTGATCAGGTGTTTGATTTTTGTCAATGAAAATGAATACACAGAAAACTAAATAAGAGTTCTCTATTGATTTTTTTAAAATTTTATCGTAAAGTCAGATATATAGAGACAGAGGGGAGAAAGACAGAGAGGAAGATCTTCCATCTGAAGATTCACTTCCCAGGTGACCAAAACAGCTGGTGCTGAGGAGATCCAAAACCTGGAGCCAGGAGATCTTCCAGGTCTTCCATGCAGGTGCAGGGTCCCAAGGCTTTGGGCCGTCCTCGACTGCTTTCCCTACAAGCAGGGAGCTGGATGGGAAGCGGGGCTGCCGGGACTAGAACCGGCGGCCATATGGGATCCTGGCACTTTCAAATTTCAAGGCGACGACTTTAGCTGCTAGGACATGGTGCGGATGCCTCTCTATTGATTATCTTAATTTTAATTATTAATTTATTTTTAATATTCTTATATAGTTGATTAGGGTACAAAGGGTCAAGGGCTACAGGAAAGTGGGTAAGACCATTGTTTCCATATTAATGTTATCACTTTTCCCCCTGTATCTGGGGTAAGCCCCACACAGCCTCCCAACTATCCCAAGTTCCAGATGTGAGGCATGCTCTAAGGGTCCTGATCATGCAGTTTTGACAGTTCAACTATTTTGAATTGCTGACAATCTCGCCATTTCAAGTGCAATGAAATCTCTTCAGAATCCATTGGTTGACATAGTCTTTACATGACTAGGTTTCTGAGATCAGCAGTTCAGTTGGATGGATCTCCAAAGAAACTTCATCTGAGGTGATCCCGGACCTGATTCTTGAGCGTGCTTGCCAGTAGAGGGTACAGCACAGTCCGTCACCCCAGTCAGCTTATACACATGCTGGTGGTTGCAAAGGCTGGGTCATTTCTCTTTCCAGCCCTGACTTCCACATGTGCCAACGGTGTGGCAGTCCAGTCTGATTCTGCCCAGCACACACTCAACCCTCATGCAAACCAGTGGGAGCTGCAGCCTAGTTGGGGCGACTCCCCATAACCCCCACCAGTCCAGCCCCCTACCTTGGTTTCCATGCTTGCCAGTATGTACCGCAGACTTGTTCCTTCTGTCCCACATCCCTTTTAGCTCTCATACATGTCAATGGGCATTGAAGCCTGGTTCAACCCAACCAGCTCTACTTTCTAGCCCACACACAATAGGCATGTGCTGTTCTGTCTAGCCACCTCTGTCCCGTCCCTGTCCTGGTTTTCATTGCTGTCCAGTGGGAGTAGTAACCCAAGATGGAGGCGCCCACTATTTACCTCTTAGGCCACTCCCACTCTCTGATTATACACTCTCCATGTGGTTCTGGAGTTTAATTTGACAGATTTAGCCCCCCTGTGCCAGCCCCTGCCAGCTGATGCTGTGGCAAAGCCCAACCAACCCTCACCCAACCTAAATTTTGCTTGCATCAGTTGAAACAGTCAGCCCAGTTGGCTTTTCCCGGATCTAGCTCACATGAGGCCCACAGGAGTTGTAGCCTTGCCTGGTCTGATCTGCTGTGGGGAGCAGGATGCCCGAGCCACTCCCAGGAATAGGAAGGGCCACCGCAGCATGGTGGCTGGCCCAGGGCCAGGAGGTGGGATTGATCTCGCCAGTAGTAAACAGGAAGTCATGGGGATAGGCTGATGCCCTCGCTGCCATTATGTCATTGCTACTGGCCAGTCAGGTAGCACCAAGTTGACCCAAGGGAATAAGTGATTGGAGAGCGGTATAAAAGCAGCTGCTTTTGGCAATAAGACCTATGGGAACAAAAGCCGTGGAGGGAGGGAAAAGCAGTGGAGGGAGGGATATAAAAGCAGGGAGAAAAGCTAAGACCTACAGAGAGAAAAGCAGGGAGAAAAGCTGCAGAAAGAGGGGTATGAGACCTACAGAGAGAAAAGCAGGGAGAAAAGCAGAAAAGCAGTGGAGAAAGGGTATAAAAGCAGCCGAGTTTGGCAATAAGGGATCTGGTTGCAGTTCCTGTTTTCCCAGACTCTCAAGAGTGTGCCTTGTAGGTAGTGTCGCTGCAGGTTGGCGACAGTCTGCCCCCATCCCAACTCATGCTCTCCAGTGGGTGTGGGTACAGCAGGGGAGCCCACATTCTCCCTGCTGGCTTTGCTCCCTCCCACACTAGTTCTCACATGTGCTAGCTGGGCGCTGTGGCCACATCTGTTATGGCTCACCTCACCTTGACATTTTATAATGTGCACTGGTTTGTGTCACGACCGAACCTGGCCCAACCTACACTCTATTCTGGTGCTTGGATTCGCCAATGGGTGATGTGAACTGATTCGGCCTGGTCTGCCCCTGACCTATGCCAAATGTATGCCACTGGGTATCCTGGGTTGCTCCTTATCGTGGTTCATGAGCTCACTTGCAGGGACTGTGGCCTGACAGAGGAGTTTCGTAAGCTCCTCCATCAGAACCTCTCCCTATGCCAGATCTTGCACATACCTAAACTGTATCAAATCTGCTGGTTTGATATAGTTCAAATCTGCTGGTTCACTCCTTAAATGGCCACCATGGCCTGAGCTAAGCCAATCCAAGGGCCAGCCCTGCTTAATCCACCTCCAGTCCTGGTAGGAACAGTGGCCTTTCCTTGCTTACCTGCAATCCATTCTGGTTCTTACTGTTGGGATGTTTCAGCCCAGAAAAGTCTTGTCCATATCCACACTCTGCTCACACATGGTTCAGTAGGGGCAGAGATCTAGCCTAGTCCATCTTACATCTACCCAGGATAACCAGAGCACCAGATGTTGCTGGCATCTAGCCCAGCTAGGTGTAACCAACCCCAGTTCACACTTGTGCCAAGGGAGATTGTAGACATATCCAGACCGGAACGCAGCCTCATGCCCAATAGGCGCTCTGGCCACCCAAAGCCTAGGGTTTGGTCACTGTCTTTCAGTAGTGACTTTGGCTTGATTCCCCAGCCTTGGGTCCATCCTGGCTGGGCCACCCCCCACAGCCACCACACTGCAGGGAATTGCTTTTGCCCCAACCCCACAGTTAAATCAGAAAGGCAGATTTGTAGTGTGGTAGGCAGCTAGTTCAGGGTCGTGAGCTTGGAAGCCACTCCCCTTCACCACCTAGGTTTTCCATCCTGCCCGCCTATGATTCTTACCCATCATCACCTGGAGTCTGAGAGGGGGCAATATTTGTATTGTTGTCTAACTACTTCCCTCATAAGCCCCTGTAAAAGTCCTTGAGAGAAGGAGCTCTCTCTCTTGATCATGTGCCTCCATTGCTCTAGCACCCCAACTCTTGGCCTCCCCAGTACCTTCTTGCTCTCTGGCTTCCCATGGTCATACTCTGAGGACAGGTAATCCCCTGAGCATGACCCTTGTGTGTCTGTATCCCTCACCCTCCTCTGTTCACTGCTTGGGTGGGACAGTGAAGATAGCAATGCTAAGATGCTCTGTATTTCTAATTTGTGTACTATCAGGAGTTCCAGGAGAGGTGAGGCCTAGCAGTGGTGGAATGTGGGCAGAGAAACCAGGGAAAGGTGAATATCTGCAGCTTTGTAAGCGTGTCCAGGTTATTCATTGTATGCCTCTTAGGGTAACTTTTATTGTTGGGAAAGCTGGGACATAGGCCTTCAGCTTAATGGATGGACTTCATTTGTTTTTCTTGGGGTTTTGATTCAGATTGGATTGCCACATGGAGTACTTGTGATTTTGTATTTCTAGTGGGCCCCATTATCACCAAGCTTGGTTCATAAAGACTCCTTAATAAACCCTAGACTTGTCTGGCGTGATCTCGCTTGCACCCCACAACACATCCACAGGAGGCAAGAGAGTAAGCTAAGGCACACAACCAAGGCAGCCCACAGCTCTTATCCATAAAGGGCCTTCATGAGGGCTTGAGAAGGGAGTGCTTATGCAGCAACGCTACACTGCCCCCTTCAGGTTACAGATCATGACAGGTGAGCCAGAAATGATTAGAAAGGTGGAGATGTGGCTTCCAAACTATTGATTGAATAGCAGTCTACCTAAACTATATCAAATCTGCTGGTTCACTCCCTAAATGGCCACCTTGGCCTGAGCTAAGCCAATCCAAAGCCAGGAAACTGGAGCTTCCGAGTCTCCCATTCAGTTGCAGAGTCCCATGGACCTGGGCCACCCTCCACTGCTTTCCCAGGCCACAGCCGGGGAGCTGAATGGGAAATGGAGCAGCTGGGATGTGAACTGGTACTCATATGAGATGCAGGTACTTGAAGGTGGATTAGCCTGTTGAGCAATGGCACCAACCCCCACGTGTGTTAGATGTAGGAATCCAAACATGACTGTTTGTCCTTCTCCAAGAAAGGTCAAAAAAGATAAAACTGTTACTGTGTTTTTACTACTGTTGGTTATTTTAAAAAGTTAGAGTTCTAGTTGTTATGATATTATTACATGCACAGCTAATTCCCACAACCTGGTTCTTTACCGTGAGCCAAAAACACCAGACACAACGAAGTATCTTAGGAGGTTTATTCCAGCGGGGCAGGAATGGGATGGAGGTGGTGGGAGATCAGTGGGGAAAAAGGGAAGATGGAGGCACCTGAGACCCCTTATGTCAGGTGAGCCTGCTAGGTGTGGGGGGCGGTGGGATTGGGAGGGATTGAAGGCAGGCCCCAGGGGTTTGGTGCCTGCAGGTGAATGCCTAGGAATGATTGGTGAATGCGCAGGGTTGGGAGATTGGGGGTGGGATTTTCAGGTGAAATGCCGGGTGGATGGCTAGACCGGCTCAAATATGGTGAGCTGTGGGGAAGAAGGAATGGCATCAGGCAGGGTATCAGTCTCTGTGATAACCTTCAAATTGCTCCCCACACTCCTCCCTTTGCTATATATAAAAAGAGAAGGGACACAGTTTTCTTCTATAGCTTCTTCGAGCTAAGTTTGGGCATAGTATTCTCTAATCAGTGGTCTCCTGGTGTTCGGGGAAGGAATGGGAGACTGGGAGAGGCTTGTAACCCTGCAAAAGAAACTGGTTAGCAGTGTTAACAGTTTTTTCCATTTGAGTGAGAATAAATTTTTGAAGAAAATTGATGAAACAAGGGGTTATGGCGAGTCTTGCAACAAGTG